TTAGTCTGACACAGAAACACGTTCAAAAAATATGTAACTGGAGACAAATGAGCATCCATCCATCTTCCGCTTATCTGGGGCCGGGTTGTGGGGGCGGCAGCCTAAGCAGAAAAGCCCAGACCTCCCTCTCCCCAGCCACCTCCTCCAGCTTATCCAGGGGAGCACCAAGGCGTTCCCAGGCCAGTCAAGAGATATAATCTCTCCAGCGTGTCCTGGGTCTGCCCCGGGGCTCCTGCCAGTGGGACATGCCTAAAACACCTCACCCAGCGAACCACCTCAGCTGGCTCCTTTCGATGTGGAGGAGCAGCGGCTCTACTCTGAGCCCCTCCCGAATGGCCGAACTCCTCACCCTATCTCTAAGGGAGAGGCCAGCCACCCTTCGGAGGAAGCTCCTTTCCGCCGCTTGTATCAGCGATCTTGTTCTTTCAGTCACTACCCACAGCTCGCGGCCGTAGGCAAGGGCAGGGGCCTAGATCGACTGGTAAATTGAGAACTTCGCTTTTACACTCAGCTCTCCCACAGCACCAATCCGTCTGTCGATCTCCGGCTCCCTTCTCCCATCACTCGTGAACAAGACCCCGAGATACTTAAACTCCTCCGCTTGGGGCAGGAACTTATCCCTGACCCGGAGTGGGCACTCCACCCTTTTCCGGCTGAGAACCATGGCCTCAGATTTAAAGGTGCTGATTCTCATTCCCAGCGTTTCGCACTCTGCTGCAAACTGTTGCAGTGCAAGCTGGAGGCCATCACCCGATGAAGCTCCAGAAATATTTGTTCAGTTCTCTTTCAAACCCCAGCAGCTGTCTATTGCAACTTTTGAGTGTCCACTAAAACAAAAATAAACGCGTTCCAAAATCTCACCTGTTTGTTTTTATTAAGGCATACATGTACCTTATTTTTATTAATAGAGATTTCGCTATTGAGGTTAAACATGATATATAAGTCACTTAGATCACTTCGAAATGTTAATGTTTGGTTTATTTCAGTGTTTTATTTGTTCCTGAGTGTTGCATCTTCAAAAAATAAATTGTACAATTGTACAAATCGTGAGTCCATGCTCCAGTGCGTTCTCGACAAGTCCAGACTCGCCGGGAACGCACGGGAGCGTGGACTTGCTTACTTGAGAGTTGAGAAAGGGCCAAAGAGCGATTCAGAAGACCAGTATGAGAATATCACCAAGGGAACAGTTTACTCTGCCCAGGATAGGGTTACCGGGGCCCCGCCCTGGAGCCAGGCCAGGGGAGGGTGCCCGAGGGCAAGCATCTGGTGACCGGACCTTAGTCCATGGGGCCCAGCTGAGCACAACCTCGAAAAGGGGACAAGGGTACATCTGTCACCATCTTACAATGCTGTGATTGCAGCCATTCCCCAACTCTCTGTGAATGGGACTCATGGCCATTGATCAGTGTTTGTTGATCAATAATCTTGAGAATTTGCATAATTAAGATTAAGGAACTGACCTCCCAGCCCATTGTTCCTTCAGTGGGCTGGTTTCAGTCATTATGCAAATGTCCTGTTGATAAGATTGAAAGCTGCAGTCAGCTGAGACTGAAGACGTCACCTGATGATGACGAAAAAGCTGGTGCCCTGTTGTAAAAGCTGTCCTTGAGTCAGTTTGTCTGGACCCTCAGCAGCCTGACTCTCCTGCCAGATGGCAGCAGCTTGAACACCCGGTGTCCTGGGTGTGTGCAGTCCCGTAGGATGCTGCGTGCCCTCTTGAGACAGCGAGTGCTGTACAGGTCAGGGAGGAAGTCCAGTGATTTTTTTTTTGTCTTTCTGTGTGCTATGGTGCAGCTGGAGAACCACACACAGATAGAAAAGTGTGTATAAGAGGGGGCTGAGGACACACCCCTGTGGGACGCCTACGTTCAGAATGAGGGTGGAGGAGGTGTATTCTCCCATCCTGACGTTATGGGGTCTAACGCTCAGGAAGTCCAATATTCAGCTGCACAGTGAGCTGCTGAGTCCTAAGTTGCTTAGTTTATTAACCAGTTTGTGGGGTTGGACTGTATTGAAGGCGGAGCTGAAACAAACAGCATTCTCAGGTGTCACTACTGTACAGATGCAGGATGTCAGCACACTTTCAAGGGAGCAGCAGTAGAAGCTCCTTCTTCAGGTCCATTTTTCTGAGGATTGTCTGGTGGTGTGGAGCGTTGTAACAATGGCATCTTCAGTAGATCTGTTAGCTCTGTGTGCAAACTGGAGCAGGTTGAGTGTGGGTGGCATGCAGGACATGATGTGATGTCGGACCAGTTTCTCGAAGCACTTCACGCCCTGCTGACTTAAATATTGTACTGGGTCCTGTGGTGGGTTGTTGTTGGGCTGGCAGCGGGAGAGCTGCATCTCTGTGTGTATTGTGAACGGCATCATGTGTGTGCTAATAAAGCATGCTGCAAAGCATGTTAATGTCACCGGGTCTGCTGTGGTCATTCACGATCTCTAAAGTTAGAAATATCCTGTCTCAGAGTGACGCTGAAAAACTAGTTCATGCATTTATTACTTCCAGGCTGGACGACTGTAATTCATTATTATCAGGAAGTCCTGACAATGACCCTGGCTCTGCTGGAGGTTTCTTCCTGTTAAAGGGGAGTTTTTCCTTCCCACTGATGCCAAAGCGCAGGGTATTATTGTAGGGTCTTTACTTTACAATATAAAGCGTCTTGAGGCAAATGTTGTTGTCATTTGTTGCTATATAAACAAAATTGAATTGAGTTGAATCGATTCGTTCATGTTAATGGAGAATCCTCTTCACACACTGGGGTGACTGGAGTTCCATGTAGGTCTGTCCCCAGTCAATCTGAGCAATTGGGGTAGAAGAGCCTTATTTAGGTAGATGACCAAGAATGTTGGTCACTCTGATATCGCTCCAGTGTTGCTTTGTGGAGAAAGGACTACAATTTGTGCAGCATCCCACCAATCAGGTCTGCATGGTGGAGTGATCATACAGAAGTCACTCTTCCGTAAAAGATCCAAAGTTGTCGTAGGATTGTGGAGGGGTGTGGCTTGGGCGCGGCTGCAGGGGAGGCTAAGACACACCGGAACTCCATTAGCTCGTCACGCCTCCTGTGAGTAAAAGAGTGTGCCGGGACCTGAGGTTGTGGTTGTGTGTAAGAAGGAGCACCTGAATAAAGAAAAGTGTGTAAAGAGCGAACTACATGGTCGGGTCCGTCACAGTGGTGCTGAAACCCGGGAGGTGGCATGGCGGAACCTCGACCGGGCCAGCCAATGGACACGCTGGCCCGAATGGTGGTTGAGCTTGCAGCTATGTGAAGGGAGCAGGTGGTGGTGTCTCGCCGCCAGTTGGAATGGCTGCAGGACCGTTCCGAGCTCCAGATGCAACTGATATTGAGTCTGGAAGCTTGGTTGGTTCCTGACGGACACCGCCGCCAGCCTGACCGGCGTTCCTAGACCGCATTGGGGAGGGAGACGACCCCCATGGTGTTGCAGATGTCCATGCACGAGAGGGACCTGTTTTGCAAGCCAGCGGTCTGCGTGCTATCTGGACCAGCTCATGCCGAGCCAGAGGTCGCCCAGAACAGGGACCTGCCCAGGCTGAGTTGGAGGTCTGCGCGCCATCTGAACCTGCCACATTCATGTCAGAGGTCACCGTGCTGTCTGGTCCAAGCGGCGTCCTCGGCAGAGGCCAGCACCGTCTGAACCTGGATTGTTTACACCAGAGGTCAGCGTTTGTGGTCTAGCCTGCCGGCGGCCTGCCAAGCTGCATGTGAGACGCGGCTTACCTCCTCGACTGCTGCGCCGTCGCTGGACACACTCGGTCGGCCCCGGACACAACTCATCCCTGCCGCTAGTCCATGGGCCACGGATGCACATGGCCATGGCCGATTGGGCTAGGCTGGATGGCTGCCCGACCTAGGTTGGGTGTGGCCTGGGCACGGCTGCAGGGGAGGCTGAGACACACCGGACCTCCATTAGCTCATAACGCCTCCCATGAATAAGAGCGTGCCGGCACCTGAGGTTGTGGTTGTGTGTGGGGCTGCAGCTGGAAAGCTGCGACCGAGTGAGCGAACTATGTGATCTGTCATTCCTGTCGCAAGGATGAAAAATGAATTTTGGAATAAAGCTGTAACATGAAAAATTGTAGAACAAGTGAAGTGTTGTCAAGACCTTTGAGGTGCATTGTGTTCATCCCGCTGTAACCATGTTTCTGTAACACAGAACAAATTAATATATTGATAAATTACTAGCACATGTACCAGCAGCAACTTTACTGCACTGTTCTTATTATTAAATATGTTGCTGATGGACAGTTGTCTGCTGTGCTGCAGTTCTCCACCCGCTGCAGGGATTTCATGGAGAGAACGATGAGCAGATGTTTTCTCTGACTCGTTTCTGTTCCTCATCCTCAGATTTAACTCTGATAAATGGGAAGCTCTTCCAGCCTGCATCCAGACGCCTTTCCATTCCTGCAACATATCAGCGATTGGGCCGCGCGACACTAACGACTCGCCCGAGAACAGCTGCGTGACGCTGCGTGTGCGGGCCGAGAGACGGGGGCTGAGATCTGAGGGTGTTAACGCCTGCAGCAGATACGGTGAGAAACCTCAGATATGTGTCAGCGCTGTCTGTGGGTGAAGCTGTGAGACTCGAGGTGTTAACCATCCTGACCACAGTGTGAACCACGAGCTGCTGCTGTGCTGACGCTCGCTCTGCTCTTCCAGGTGACGTCTGCACGCCTCCGTTAAGCATTTTGACCCGGCCTGGATCACTCACCGTATTCCTTAACGATGACCACGAGCTGGCGAAGGAACACGACAGCAATGCCAAGCACATGATTTACTTTGGCAGAGAGGGAGAGAGTCCTCTGCAGGTGAGACCACGGAGTGATTCCTCCAGGTGTTTATGCTCACCTGATGTTACAGCACGTGTCACTGCTCAGAATATATCTGATATTTTTATTATTTTTTTAAAGAAAGATGTGCACATGTGTCTGTCAGTGGTCAGTGTGTGCAGGCAGGTCCAAGCATATTTGGACAGTTTGCCTCTGCACCAACAGACAGTCTGCACAAACTGTTTCAGAATTACAGCTATTTTTACACAGTTCCCATTTTCAGAGACTCAAAGTGACTGAGAAGCAGTTTCGTGTCCAGATGAATCCTGCGCCTTCATTTTTAGAACTAAACTGAAGCCAGAGAGTCACGTGTCCACCACTTCAGGCTGTTACTGACTGCAAGAGATTTTCAGCCACATTAAAAACTATATATATATATATATATATATAAAATTCAGTTAGTTTGTCCACTTACTTTTAATTGTTTTGGTTAAATTATTATTTCAGACATCAGCAGCAAAAACTAAACCTGCATGTTTAACAACTGGAATCGCTCAGAGAGTCAACATTTTACAATTACAACAGGAGCCCAAGCAAAGTAAATATCAAGTAAATATCTTCTAATTTCATATTGTCAGGAGTATGAAGACACCATAGCCTCCATGACCATTGAAGACCTGGAGGAGGGGCAGCGGTACTGTGTTCAGGTGGCCTATACGGTCCACGGGGACCTCGTGGAACCACGCAGCTGCATCCAGTGTGAGGTCATCCCTGCATCAGGTAAGCTGCTCTTCTTGGTGTAACGTTCCTTTAACGCGCTCCGACTCCAACCAGAGACACAGATGTAAACGACTCCGCTGCTTTTGAATCAGCTGAAGGTTTTAAAGCTGCAGCAGTAAACTCACTGCGTCTGTTTTCTCAGAACACGTGAACAGGACGCCGATGATCGTGGGGCTGCTCGTCGGCATCGTGGTCCTCGCCATTCTTGCATTGGGATACCTCGGGTTTTTCCAAACTGAGAAAATCAAACGCTGCCTACACTAACCATGGTATGCCTCACCGGTAAGAAGCAACACTGCTGCACACACTCACCACACAGACACCAGTGGGTGCTGTATCCACTCCGAGCGTGTCAGCGAGGCACGTAAAAGAGCTGATTCGACAGTTTGAAAGCCTTCTACTCACGATTACTCAGTGTGTAAGACTGATGTGATTCTTCTTGGTGACTGGTGAGTCAATGAAATGTCCAATGGTGTTAAACACTGGAGAGTACCAGAGTTTACTCGAGAAAGAAAAGTCATTTTCTGTGGTAGAAAAACTTGTTTGACCTTGAATTTCCTGCCACATAACTGGTGGGAGTGTTACAACCAGCTCTGGTCGTCACGCCAGTTTGCTCGGCTTTTGGTTTGTCTTCCTATCAGACAGCGAGTCTCACATCTTTGTATTTACCAACAAACACGTGACATTTAACATTTAACCAACAGAACGTGAGCGGCTGAAATGTCCCAGAGTGACACTTAGACATAAGATCGGTGTTTCACTCACACTGAAACTGACACAAAGTGAAGTGAAACACACAAACAGAACCATATTTACAACACTAGTTAACTTCTGGTAAATTGGCTCCAGTCATCACTCTTGCCTCCTGGGAACTCTCTCTATCACTTCCTCTTTGTCTTCTAACTGACACCCAACCTGTGGGCCACTGACAACATTCAGCATCAACTATTTGATTTCAAACTCATGATCCCGTCTGACCCTCTCTTCACCTCCACTGCTCACAAACACAAATGATTGCCCATCCTCCACTGGTCTTCCTGTTGACACCGCGGCACAACAGTTTGAATCCACCTCCAATGATCCTGCTCTTACTTCCCCTCTATCTGTACAACTCATAGTCCCTACATACTTTAACTTCCTGCTCTCATGTCCACACTTCTGTCTTTCCTTCTCTCTCACTGCCTGCTAACATGCCTTCCCCCAAATCCACAAAACCCCACAACAAAGAAAAACAAAGAAAGGAAAACACTGAGCCACAAACTCTGTCAATTCTAAAAGTGTGGAAAAGTTAATAACAGGCTAAAATTCTAACATGAAACTAAAACAGAGAGCATACTGAACCGGGAACCTTTCAGCATCCTCTGGGTTCAAAGGCACTATCAAGCTGAGCTAACCAGCAGTGCAGCACCAACATCACAGCTAAAAACACTCTGATTGGTTCTCTGCTTCTCAGTTTGACATTCACAAGAAATTGTGTTTCACATAGTAGTTTATGTGTTCCTCCTTAAAGAAGGAGCAGTTTTTACAAGCTGACCATTAAAGGTTTTAAAGCCCATGAGTTTGTCAGCGCTGAAGATGGTCAAGAGGAAAAGAAAACCTGGGATCACGCCTCAGATATGGAACAATTCAAAATTGGGAACCGAAAGAAGGTAAGGTGCTTTACCACTGGGAAATAAGACAAGAAACACACAAATGACTGAACAAAAAAACAATCACAGCTAAAAGTGAAAATGAGTAAAAAAAGGTAAAAACCTAAACAAAATAAATTAACATCACATTAAATCTTGTTCTGTGGAAATGGCTGTGATAGACACACAGTGTTCAGTTCAGTTATTTGTGACAACAGCGCTCGTCTCAAGGCTCTGATATTGTAAGACTAAGACATAAGAGGCGGGAGACGTGAGCGTCCTCCGCCTGTGAAACTGTTTTGGGGGATGTGTCCTTGTTGCACCTGTTGTTAGTTTCATTAACACCAAAGCAGCTGAACCTGATTAACACCTCTGATACTGAACTAATCAGATCAATATCCCAAAGTTTCACTGACTTGATGTTGAACTGCTCCTCTATTTTGTAACATTTTCTGAGCAGCGTACACCAGACACACTAAAGGCTGCTGGTCACATTAACACTATAAACTGATGTTTTCTGCTTGTGTGATTACAGATGCAGTGAGAGTCGTGTTTCCCAGGCAGAGGACATTCAACAAGCTGTGCTGCTGTCCAAGACGACGTCTTACTTCTTAAACCTAAACACACAAACTTCTCAAAACAGAGTCTGATGGAGGACTTTATTATGGCAGAGCTTGTGTGTTTCCTACAAACTGGACTATCAGATGAATGAGTTTTCGGATTATTTTCGTGGGCTGCTGGGATGTATGCGTTTGGACCGTGATGAGGGGAAAACAAGATTTCTGAAGTGACGTAATAGGATAGGTTAAAAAAGCTGATACTGGAGTCTGCTCAACTGCAGGAGGAGGACGTCTCCTGAGAAGCAGTTTAGAGGATTCTGACTCTTACAGTAACTCGTACTGTGTACTAGCTAGCATGACGGAGTTTCTATACAGTTGGGTGGGTGCTATGATGTTACTGGTGAACTTTATTTTATTCATATGGTTACTTAGTAGAGTTGCCAACCGTCCCCTAAAAAACGGAATCCTCTGGTATTCAGAATTAATATTACCGTTTCGTATTGAGCTGAAAATAAACGTGATTTGTCTTCAGCTACAATAAAAAAAAAAGACAAAAAGCTGGAGTTATTCTGTCTTTACGCTGTCAGATTGAACTGTTTCTGAGAGACTAATAACACCAGGATCCTTTTCTAAGAGCTGACAGCTGGTAACAGTGCAGGGGCGGATCTAGAAAAGTGTTGCCAGGGGCCCAGGCAGGGCATTAACAGGGAAGGGGGGGCACAAAGATATACTTTTCTTTCTTATTCTCATTTAAAATGTCTCGCTTTTAACAAATAATTATCCGAATCTTACAACCAAAGTTTTCATCTGATGTCAAATTTATAGAAATCCATTATTGTACGTAGTAAGTTTTTTTCAGGGTCCCAACATAATTTCTTCAGAAAAAAGTACTGTACATGATGCCAGTATTTTCCCACATTTTCCAGATACTGTACTTTGTGTAAAATGCCATCAAAAACTCAGTTAAGTTTTATTCTTTCTCACCTGTCTTTCTGTCTCCTTTCACTTATAAAAGGTTGCCATGTTAGAAAAAATATTTTGCCCTGGCATGCTGTTTATTGATGTGGTAAATAAATAGTTTATGAAAATTATAAACTGTCATTTATTATTTTTAATATTCAGTAATGGTCATGTCTCACCTCTAGTCTTCTCTGTCTTAATTTCAGGTTTCCACCATGTGTTGTAGATAGTTCAGGAGGTTAACTCGACCAAGCAGTCTTTGGGTTTCGGCTAAGTACTGTTTAGAATACCAGAATAGGGGGGATGGTGGAGGTTTAAGTTTATTAGACTGATACATATGTACCAACAAGACAGTGTACATCACTGTGACAACGACATTTGTTTTCATTCAAAGGCTATTTGGTTTTTCCTGTAATACCTGGTGGGCCGGTCTCTAGTCAAAATGCCCAGGCTGATTTTTTGTCCCAGTCCAGCCCTGCGGGGGGACACTGAGCAGAGTGTCTCAGTGTGAGGAAAGTGAGGAGCAGGAAATATAAACCCTGCCTTCCTTCGGCCATCACAGGGAACTTGAGGGTCTCTGACATCAGAGGGAGGATTGGAAGTTCACTGTGTTGTGCTTCACAGAGACATGGCCGGACCTCAGTGCCACAGTATCTGGCTTTTTCACTGTTCAGGCTGGAACATGTTACTGTGAAGGCTCTGCTCGCCAGACTCGTTACTGTAATAGGTCAAAAGAAACTAAGTTAAGCAGGTGGTGGGGGGATTCATGCAGGAACTGACTACCTCCATCTTCATGCCCATGCTGTCTGCTAGATGATGCACCCCACTAGCAACCCTCAGTAAAGTTCAATCAACAGGTAGGATTCACGTCAGTGGCCGGAGAAGGCCATGGAAAAAGACTCCCTCGAAGCTTTCTGGCCAACTTTCAGGGAACTCAGGAGGGTGCTTTCCCTCACTGTGTGTAGTACAGGTGAAGCACTGCTGGTTTCAACTGAGGATATTGTTGGGTGGTGGAAGAAATTCTTCGAGGACCGCCTTAAGTTTAGTGACATGTCTTCTGTAGAGGAAGCAGAGTCTCTGGACTCGTCCATCACTGGGGGCGAAGTCACTGAGGCAGTTAAAAAACTCCTTGGGAGTTGGGAAGAGTTCCAGCCTTAAATGGAGGAGTTTAAGTGTCTCCAGACCTTCAGGAGTGAGGCGAGAGGGGAGCAGGAGATCGACTGGTGCTGCAGCTGCAGTGATGTGGATACCAGTCTGTCGTGGTGAAGAGAGAGCTGAGTCTAAAACCAAAGCTCTCAATTTACCGGTCGATCTTTCTGGGCATGTCCCACATGCTGGAAGAGAAGGCCATGGACAGGGAGGTCTGAGCTTCTCTGCTTAGGCTGCTGCCCCTGCGACCCGGCCTAGGATAAGTGGAAGAACACGGATGGATGGATGACCTGAAAAGTAGGCGCCAGGGATCTGTTCATTTTTAAAGACTAGAATACTCAATAAGACTTAGACTTAGTTCCTCCTACGCCGGGCGGCGCATCGGGCAGCTAGTGATCTCCATCGATGTCGGTCAGCAGCGACTGCTTCAGCTTCGTCCCAGGCAATGTCGACAGTTCTCAGATCGTCCATGAATGTTCGACGCCATGTGGTCTTTGGTCGGCCTTGCTTTCGCTTGCCAGTGCGTGGACGCCATGTCATGGCAATCTTAGCTGGGCGATGAGGGGGTAGGCGTAAAATATGGCCCGCAAAGCGGAAGCGCCTTTCTGCAACAACATCGGCTAATGGGCGGGTGCCTGCTCTTCGTAGGACCTCCTCATTTGTTATTCGGTCCCGGTAGGAAATTCTCAGGATTCGCCGCAGGCCACGTTGTTGAAGCACGTTCAGGTGTTGAATAATTGCACTTGTTGAGCGCCAGGTTTCACTAGCGTAAAGTGCAGTAGGGAAGACGATAGAGTTCAGTAGTCTGATCTTGACCCTTACATTCAGGGAGGTCGAGTTCCAAATAGGTTGGAGACGTCGCAGGACACCAACTGCCTTCCCTACTCTGGCGTCGACATCCCGATCAGAGACCCCGTCATTCGAGATGATGCTGCCAAGATATGTAAAATTCTCCACCTCTTCAGCACGTTGTTGGTTGATCATGACAGGAATGCGGGCACGTGCATAGCCAACTCGGAGTACCTTGGTTTTTTTGGCGCTGATTCTTAATCCAACTTTCGTCGCCTCCCTCTGCAGGGCCGCGGTCAACTTTTGGAGGTCTTCCTGAGTCGAGCCCAGCAGGGCGATGTCATCTGCGAAGTCCAAGTCATTGAGATTACGCGCTTCGTGCCAGGGCACACCGATGCCAGCTTGGTCAACTGATCGTCGCATGATGAAGTCAATTACCAACAGGAAGAGGAAAGGGGATAGCATGCATCCTTGTCGGACTTGTCTTGAAGAAATATGTGCAGCCGTCATCTGTCCGGACGCAGCAACGGGAGTTGGAGTAGAGACAACGAAAGGCATCTACAAACTGCTGAGGGACTCCATAGTGGCGTAGGATAGCCCATAGTGGCGTAGGATAGCCCATAGAGGCGTAGGATAGCCCATAGAGTCGGCCGGTGGACGCTGTCAAAAGCCTTCTCGAAGTCAATGAAATTAATAGAAATTTTCCTTTGGTATTCCAATGTTTGTTCAATGATCATGCAGAGGGTGAAGATTTGCTCGACCCATGACCGGCCACTCTGAAACCCAGCCTGCTCTTCTCGCAATCGTTCGTTCACTGCGTGTCGTAGCCGATTCAAAAGAGCGAGGCAAAACACTTTCCCGGGTACTGACAGCAACATGATGCCCCGCCAGTTGTTACAGTCACCCAAATCACCTTTTTTTGGAAGTTTGATGATGGTGCCTTTTGTCCAATCATCGGGTACATGTGATGTTGACCAGCAGGCGTTTAGGAGTCTTGTAAGGGCGGCTTCAAGATGGGGTCCATCATGCTTCAGCATTTCGGCGAGGATTTCGTCCAGGCCTGCGGCCTTTCCACTCTTGAGGAGTCGGATGTGATGGTGATGGTGATTTGTCCAATATCGACAGGAAGAAGATCCATGGAAGGTGCCAGGTCTTCGGCCTCGAACCGTTGGGGTGGCTCAGGTTGGTTCAGAGTATCGCGGAAGTGTTCGACCCATCGTTGGTCTTGTTCAGCTGCAGTAAGGAGGACATGTCCATTTTTGTCTTGGATTGGAACACCGCGGCCACCACGAGCCCCAGTTAGATCTCGTACAATGCGATATAAGGTTCGGGTATCGTTCCGATCGGCTGCTTCTTGGGCTTCGATGCCTTTAGCTTTGATCCATTCACGCTTTTCACGCCGGCAGCTGCGTTTGACCTGTCGGGCAAGGTCTTGGTAGGTGGCCATGGCCCTCTCACGCTGGTGAGTCAAAGGCCACCTGGTCCCGAACTGACTTTGCCAAGCGACGTTGATCTGTAAGTTCCCATGAACGGTCGGAGATCCAGCGCTCCTTAAAGCCTCCCCGTCGGTGACCAATCTTCAATTCTGCTGCACCGACCAAAGCCTCTTTTAGCTCATCCCAGAGTGTATCTGGATTTTTGTTGTTATTTCCTTCCGCAGCAAGGAGCTGGAAGCGGTTTCTCAATTCGAGTTGAAATTCCGCTGCCGTATTTGCGTCTTTTAGGCGTTGAACGTTAAAAGGACTTGGCCGCTGCAGTCGTGGTTGGAGGCTCTTCAGGTGAAGTTTACATTTGGCAATTAGCAGGTAGTGATCAGAGTCAATGTCGGCTCCACGCCACACTCTAACATCGCTAATGGTGGATGCCCAGCGGGATGATATGCAGATGTAGTCGATCTCGCTTGTATATCCGCCACCGGGGGCCTTCCACGTCGCCTTGTGTATCCGATTGTGGCCGAAGAAGGTGTTCTTGATGGTCAGCCGGTTTGCCACACAGAACGAGATCAGCCGCCCACCATTTTCATTTGTCATTGCTGCAATTCCAAACGGGCCGATAGCTGATTCCAGGCCGTCCCGGTTACTGCTTATTTACGCGTTGAAATCTCCGCCCACGATCAGCAAATCATGGATCCTGGAGCATCACATAGAAACCATCTTGTCAGTATCGTCAGCCTCCTCTGTTGGAGCGTATACTTGAAGAATTGTGACTTTCACATGCCTAGCTTGGAAACGAGCCAAGATTAGGCGGTCTGAAATGGGCTTCCAGGCCAGCAATAATGTTGTTGCACGTTGCGAGAGGATGAAGCCCACGCCACGTGCATGGTCTTGGGCATGGCCAGAGTAGAGCACCATCTTTCCATCACTAACCATCTTCCCGCTTCCTGCCCATCGCATTTCTGAGATGCCCAAGATGTCCATATGGTACGAGTCAAATTCACATAGAAGCTGGGCCAATTTACCTGTTTGGTACAGAGTCCGTACATTCCATATTCCATAGTCGATAATGAGATTCACTTGCTGTTTCCGTAGCAGTTGGAGTTTTTACAGGGTGGGGTTGCTAGCCCCACGCCCAACCCTCCTCCTTTCTCATCTGGGCTTGGGACCGGCAATAGCAGAGTTCAATAAGAACCTCCTCAAAACTGACTTTAATGGCAGATACAATATTTTATTTAAGCAAAGAGCTCAAACAGTTAATAATAATAATAATAATAATAGATTGCATTTATATAGCGCTTTTCGGGACCCCTCAAAGCGCTTTACAATACCACTATTCATTCACTCTCACATTCACACACTGGTGAAGGCTACAGTTGTAGCCACAGCTGCCCTGTATGGAATCAGAAGAGACGATCATAATCACAAATCAGTCAGATCGTTTTACAATTTAAAATAAAAAAAGTAAAACTAAAAAATTAAAGTAATGTAATCTAAACTGTTGCTAAATATCTACTGCCAGCTTTGATGAGTTTTTAGTCAGGAGAGAGAGAACACCTCAGCTGTAAATGAGTTCTGGCCTTAGCCACGCTGGATGAAATCCTTTCTGAGGAGAAACAAAACTTCTCAAATCTTCCTCTAACGACCGAGACTGTCCACAGTGAAAACAAGGTGAACCTTTCTATTTCTTCTTCTCTGCTCCACTTTCATCACATTGTGTTTGTTAGGAATTCTCTCTCACTTACTCAGAGAGTTAACTTCAGCTCATAATTTCTGGTGATTAAACTACACTAACTAATGGCTTTGATAAGCTTTAGAGAATAAAATATAAATTAACAGACACTGAAATTATCCCTCATTATCAGAACAATTTCCAACTTGCTGTGTTGCAGGTAAAGAGTGTTTAAATCTGTTATGATTAGCATCATGAAACATCTCTTTATCTGCTGCAACACACGTCTTAATTATTAATGACAAACATGTGTGTGAGGCAGCAACATTGCTCTGTACCGTAACATCGTGATATCAACAACACTGGACATTTAAACCTGCGTTGGCAAAATCCATCCATCATCCATCCATCCATTATCCATCGTCCATCTGTAACACTTCCAGCTCTTCAAAAATCACAGACGCTCAGAAAGGTTGGCTTTTCACAGTTTATTCCTGCAGAAGACATAAAACACACTCAACAGGTGTCTTCTGATGGTACCAGCAATTGTATCTCCCTCACAGTGCAAATCCACGCTGTCTTGACAGACTTACAATTAACTTTTTAATAAAGAAAAATTGGAAAATAATAATTTCTCCCATTTTACAGTCTGTCACACTGAACTTGTATACAAAAAGAAATCTTATGACTAATAAAAATCCATTTCACAACCGTATAAAACAAAATAACAGGTTACAGAAGTCTCAGTAAACAGTATCACCGGCTAATCATTGCCCTCTAGTGGACAAATTAACAATAGCGCATTACATCTTCACTTGCTTGTGCTTTACAGACAAAATGACTGTTAATAAGCTCACGTACCTGCAGAAGACATAAAACACACTCAACAGGTGTCTTCTGATGGTACAGCAATTGTAGCTCCTACAATGTAAAACAACATCACAAAAAGCACAGAAAAACAGTAAATCCAAACACATTTCCTGCTATGCGCAGCAACCACTAGGGGGCTGACAAAAGCTTACTGCCAAAGAGCATAAATACGGCAGAAACACTGTTTAACAGCAACCAGCCTTTGTTTCGGTTACACAGAAACTTTCTAACATCATATGAACATATATACATCGACATGTACAACTTATGTAACAACATTCACACCAGAAACCATAAAAATGCCAGAGCCTTTCATTACAGAACTTACCCTCACAGTGCAAACGCGCGCTGTGAGGAGCGGAAGCCTTAGCAGCTTCTAAACACTAGGGTGAGATCCGGTTTCTTGGTTTTCAAAATAAAACACAATTAAAAAAATGATAAAATTTACACTTAAAATAATAATTAAGAACAGATAAGTGCATGTTTTTCCAGATGTATTTGTAACTCCGTTACACATCCCTCCATCCATCTATCCATCATCCATCTATCCATCATCCATCCTTTTCCTCTAATCCATTTTCAGAGTTGCTGCAGGTGCACATTAGAAGAAAACTTAGGAAAATAATACTAAAATACATGATTATTGTTACTCTTACTAGAGTAATTTTTAAAAATTCTCTGATAAGCATCCTCTAAAAGGGTTTAAAGTTGCCCATTGTTTTCTGTCTTCTTGCTGCAGCAGATGGGCACTAGCAGAACAGTCTGTGTTCAGTACACATAGAAAGCCACTAGATGGCAGAATAGACAGACACGGGGATGATAGGAGGGGAGGAAGAGGAGGTATGAGGCAGCTCTGCAGGAGAGATGAGGAAGATAGCTCAGTCAATGATCAGTTTATTATCAGGTCAACAGGTTAATTCATGGATGTAAACAGGAAGTGATGTCAGTGTCCTCGCCTCTGGCCCTCAAAACTTCAAAGAAAATTTGAAGAACGCGAGTACAGACATTCACCACATTAGTGATGATAAGCTCTGATTTGGATTAAAAAAGCAGATAGAAGAAGACTTCTATTAATGAAGAAATCAGAAGAAATCAGTTGCAGCTGAGGACAGCACTCCCACCTTCACAGGAAGGGTAAGAGACCAACAGAGACAGACAGAGTCACACAGAGACAGTTTAGTGCTTATCAGTGTGATGATAGATGTGACTGAACCTGAGCAAACTAAGATCTGCTGTTTTTCTGCTGGAAAATAAATCATGTAGTAAAAAATGACAACTGAGTGAAAGACTAAAAGTAAATGAAACCTTTAATTTTGGGGACAGACAGCTCCTCTACCATCCACCAGGAGGAGCTGCAGCATCTATTGCCCTGTCGTGTTCGGGGTGGGGGACAGAACTACTTCACTATGCAGTCCTGTCGGCGGCTCAGACTGATGTTTCCATCGGTCTCTGAGTCAAACCGAGCTCCTACACTCACTCGCTCATTCACTTCATTTACTAATGTGTATGTGCCCAGAAATAGTCTCACTCTGCACAAAGAGAAAGAGTGCAAGAAAAATTATGCAAACTGTGTGAAATGTGCACACTGATTAGTTTTGCTCTCATAGTTATGGATCTGCTAGTGCATAGGTGTCAAACTCTGGCCCGCGGGCCAAATTTGGCCCGTAGCCTAATTACATTTGGCCCGCGAAGCCATACAAAATTACTATTAGAGCTGGTCTGCTGGTATTATACAGTTCATGTACTGCTAATACTACAATTCCCAGAATGCTCTGTTGGTGTTTTGGCACGTCAGTCACGACAGGACCCATTAGCACCCTCTCCTCTGTTGACCATAGTCATAGCAACCATGCAAATATTGCCATGCTACCTATCCCAAAATGGCAGAAAGAAAGGCAGAAAACAGGAGCTTTCTGGACAGGTGGGAGAATATGATGAAAATTTGATAAATGATAAAATGATAAAATTTAATTCAGAAGGCTGCAAATACAATTTTTATTTAAGAAATGAATTCCACTGATGTGTTTTTTAATTGGAATTTCGATTTTGCATATGTGCAATATTAAGTTATATATACGTTTATATAAGTTATATATTGTTTAGTATTGAGCTTTGCTTGTTTCATATTCAGTTTTTCAGACTCAAACTTGTTTGTCCTGAGTCCTGAGCAGCTTGTTCAGCAGTGGACTTTTACACCCACAGTGTAGGAAGGAGCGCTACCGCAGGTCATTCTTACAGCAGCTGTCAGACTCTATAATGCAGTTTAAAAAATTCCTTTGGTCATCTTACTCACCAGCCTGTTTGTTTACTGTACATTTTATAGATAGCTCTGTAGATTTTCTCAATTTTTCTATACATATTCTGTACCTGTATATACGAACTTTGGCTGCCTATATTTATAGGACCTTGTGTCTTCCTTTTATATTTTATTTTCCTGTGCTGTAAGAGCTCTGGAACACCGAAATTTCTCATCTGTGGGATAATAAAGGTTTATTCTATTCTATTCTATTCTATTCTATTCTATTCTATTCTATTCTATTCTATTCTATTCTATACCTTGAGTACATTTCTGACCCTGTACTTGAGTAAACAAGAATCATAAGTACTTTAAGGAGTATTTTCTAACAAAAGTATCTGTAATTCTACTTAAATGCAGAATGCAAGGACTTGTGCCACATATGGTATTTTACTTCCTTGCTAACAGGAAGTGGTGAAGCTGAAGGTGTCTCACTGCTCAAACTGATGTTCAGTCAGCATCCGGACGACATGAAGACTCCAGCTGTCTCTCTGCTCCTCGGTGAGTCAAACACAGCTCCTACATCCACCCATCCATCATCATCCACCCATCATCCATCCATCCACTGACTGAGGAACCAGAGTGAGTCCAGGTCCAGTTGAAGGACAGTTGATGAATCAATGCTGGGAGTTTTTGGTTTCTTTAAATGAGCGTGAAGAAGAAGCAGCTGATCCACCTGACCTTCAGTGACCTCTGACCTTTACTGACCTGTGTCCTGTTGCAGGTGTGTGTGTGCTGCTGCTGTCTGCACTGGCTGTTTCTGCAGGTGAGTTGATGAAGTGAAAACAATCAGAGACTCCAAAAGATCACAAATACATTTACTGTGTGTCTGTGCTCAGTCTCTCTGCAGGTCAGTCCAAACCTCCAGCAGATCTTCAAAAATTACGCTTCTTCTGTGTCTCTGAGTTGTGTTGATGATGAAGGGGAGACAGCTGATGGATGGCTGGTGAAGAGGACTGGAAGAGGATACACTGTGGACTGCAGAGCAGATGCTTCAGCCTTTTGGAGGAAGTTTGATTCTTTCTGTGTTCTCGACATGTCTGATTCCTTTAATGGGATTTTCTTCTGTGAAAACTCATCTGGACAGCAGAGCGATGAAGTCTCCATCAATGTAACAGTAACAAGCTGTAAGCTGCTCCCACCTGTCTCTATGTGTCTGTATGACTCTGATCTGTTGGTGTACCTTTGTCTTTACATCACTCTGTGTGTGTCTCTGTTGATCAGGGTTTGGTACAATCCTGGAGATCCCTGCACTTCCTGTGAGGGCAGGAAGTAATGTCACTCTTCGATGCAGACATAAATTCCTGAGTCGTGAATATAATCACAGATATTCAGCTGAATTCTACTTTAAAGGAAGTCGTGTTGTTTCTGAACATCAATCAGAGCTCCTCATCACTAATGTCCAGAAATCTGATGAAGGTTTCTACTCATGTTTGGTTGACATTGGTCAACATTGGAGATCTCCTCAGAGCTTTTTGAGGGTCAGAGGTCAGCACACTGACAGCACTTCCTATTTAAAGACATGAACTACAGACCTGATAAAAGACTAATCACTAACTAAACCACAATTCTCTCTCCTGCAGAGTCTGATCCCAGTACAGCTCTCCCTTCTCCTCCTCCGACTGCCTCTTCCACTCCTCCTCCTCCACTTTCTCTCAGTCATACTCAGTTCAAATTCTTGTGTTATCTACTGGCCTTCTGTCCATACTGTATCTCTGCTGGTCTGCTGATGTACATCTGCTGCAGCAGGAAGTTGGAAAACAAGCCAGCCATCACCATGGAGATGACCCAGAACAATGGAGGCGGTGACAAACTGGATGAAGAGTGGGAGGTCATCAGTGATGATGTCACCACCGAGCGTTATGTCTGAGCTTTTGTTTGAATAGTGGATGATCCTGAGTGTTCATGGATTCATGTGTTCTTCAGGGTTGTAGAAGTGGGGCTTTCACTTGGTGTTGGATCTTAGTGCAGTAATGTAACACGCATAGCGGTGTTTTGTGTAGCTTATCAGTGTAGCCAGTTAATTACAAACTTTACATAACAACTTATAATGTAATCTTCATGTTCTTTATCCAAAGCACACGCTCTGTGTATCTGTGTACTCGCTAATTTATGTTCACAGTATTCACTCACTGTGTCTTTAGGGATTTGCTAGCTTAGATTGTAGCCAACTAGCTAGCAGCATGGCCTTTTCACCTGTCCCTCCTGCACGTTCCTACTCAGGCGTAGGTCCAAGCAGCCACGGAAACAGGATGGCTGGGTGACGGTGAGGAGGAAGCATAGTCCTAAACAGAAGCCCCAGGTACACCAC